AAAAAAAAAAAAAAAAAAAAAAAAAAAAAAAAAAAAAAAAAAAAAAAAAAAAAAAAACTAAATAAAAATAATTAACTACTACCAGAGTGTATAAAATACATACTTGAGAAAAAAGAAAACGGTCTAATGGTTGAAGTGCAGCCGACTAAGTACCCGCATCTATACGGCAGTTCGACCGAGTCGCGTTGTTTTTGTTGTTTGCTTTTCTTTCGAACTTGCACTATGGATGCCGAAATTCTACGGTTTAACTGTAGACATGCGTAATTGCGTAACTTTTAAGCGCCTCTTGATGACGCCTGTACATACAGCGAACGAAAATATATAAGTATACATACATGAAAATACAGTCCACAAACGTTGTATAGGTTTTATCCATTAACGATGTATGTTTATTGAAAATAATCATACATATGCAATATATACATGTATCAGTAAAGAATGTACACAATTTAACAATGACACGATAGGAATTTTACAGTCAATGGGATCGAGCGAACTTTCATTGTTGTAATAAATGCCATTCGATGGTAAAGTATACGTTGTTCGGAAAGTAAAGCTATTATCGTTGAATTCCGTTTTGGACCTATACGACAACAGCGAGGGTATTTTACGAATGTTGTATGAATAAACTTTACTTAAGTGTATTAAAAGCTCGAAGATTGTGGTTTCCGTTTATAAGTACATATAAATACTTATAAGTGTATATTACACGTTTCGGTCAGTGCAAAAGTTTATGCGCATATTATACGGACTCGAGGCGAATATTGTATTAAATTGTGCCTGAATCCACCAAATTGATCTGTGTTTAATTGCTCATTGAGGTGTATGTTATTGTACAAAATTGTGTGCGTGAAAATTTTGTGCCACGAGTGCGTAACGAACTTTAGTATTCAGTAGCCTATTCTTTCTTAACCGTGCGAATTATTAGTGTAAAATAATTACGTGATTGTTTTGATAAGAAATATAACAAATAAATAAATAAATGAATGTATGGATAAATTTTGTAAAAAACTTTTTTAATTGACCACTATCTTACAATTGTTGGCGTTGATTTGATACTTTGAAAAAATATTGAGAATTGGCTCTGAGCAATATTTTGATGTCACAATAATGACCACGTTTTGAAAGAAAAATTGAGACATTTATAAAAAAACCATGTTTAACATTGCAAAACAAAAAAATTGACTAGTTTTTTAGCGTCAGAGGCATTCATTTTGAAAGGAGCTTTCGGAGATATATGTCGCGCACTTTAAGTGCGACGTTCCGTCCGTCATGAAAAAAAAAAAAAAAAAAAAAAAAAAAAAAGTGAGGGACGATGAGGAAAGAGTTAAGGTCTGCACGTAAAAGCTGGTGCCGTTTAGTCAAGCGATCATCCAGACGTGACCAAAAATGTAAAAAATATCCTAGTTTTGATTGAAATCGATAATTAAGTAAACCTCGACGTAGTCAAGTTATTGCTGAGAAAACACGTGAAAGAAAGTAAAGAAAAAGAAAAAAAGATGGATTAATGTGGATAACTTTGCGCCAACGCCTGTTTGACGCGCGATATTGTGTTCACAGCCGTTCAAGCAGGAGTTCTCCGATTTGGACTATGCCGACGTAGACTACCGGTCGTACGGGCCGATAAATTACAAGGCGGCCAGCATCGCTCTGCTCCAGAACCGGGACAGGCCGCAGCAGCAGCAGAAGCGGGACGATCGCATGCCGCAGATGTACGGTGCCTCCGACGACAGCGAGGAACTCCTGTAAAGCCTCCCCACGCAGTTTCAGGTCCTTGTACGCACGTGACACGTCCAAACGCAAAAGTTTCATCTGCAGTTGTCAATCCCTGCGATTATACTATAGAGTTTGGCGCAGCTTGTTAAATTTTTTTTTTTTTTTTTTTTTTTGTTAAAAAATAATGCTAAT